GGGGGGGGTCCAACCGACCCCCCCCCCCTACACATTAGAAGCTGGAAAACGCCGCACACATGCGAGGGTTAAACCGTAATTTCGCAACTTACCGAAACAACGTTGTGGCAACGTTGTACTAACGTTTCCTGTTAGCTGGGTATACATCTCTAACTAGTCATTTTTTTAGCGCTGTTGATGAGTGCATGTTATCATCTCAATGCATTAATTTAAATGTAATTGCGGTCGATCAATCAATGTTTTACGCTTATGTGCGTTATCTGTTTCGTTTTACAACAGGTGCATACCTACTCGTATGGTGTCAGCAGAGGGAAAATACAGCAAAACTAACTATTCGGCACTCAGTGCAAGACCGACACTGTAGAAACTTGCATTTTGTACCCTTGACCTGACCTTGACCTGACCTCTGACCTACCTAAGCAAAAAAATGGCTGAATAGCCCAGCGGGGTGCGGGATATGTATGTACGAGTATGTATTCAGGCTTATTTTATACTATATGATTGTGCTTAGTGTAATGGGTAGCTGATCTAGGCTTTGCATCTCAATTTTTTTCTACATGATTCGTGGTGACATTGATGGATGCCTAACATACAATGTCCAGTGTCCATCTACGCTTCGCAGGTTGGGATGTCCAGGATCGTCAAAATATTTCAACAGAAGAGATGACGAGCAGGTTTCCCGGGCATGCAGCTCTTCAAGTGCCTCGCGAGGCCTCGTTTCTCCCACGAACGATCCTACTGGAGCCTCGACTATGGATCGTGCGGATAATATGCATAAGTAGCCCGTGTGTATCGTGTTGATCGTATGGATGTGCGACTCATGACGCCCATGTGACTCATGTGGGAAAAATTGGTCATTTGAATTGTATGTGACCCGGAGACGAAATTGCAGATCGGTGGCATTGCATCACATTTGTCTGACCCTGACGGCCGTCGCAGGGGGCTGGCTCATGGCTCAGGGATAAATACGTAAGGCTCGACGCATAATAGGAAGGTGTTGGTGACGTAGCATGAAGGTGATAATTGCCCTTTGTAGTGGCTTTCAAACATAGGCGCGGGAGCCGGGGGGGGGGGGGGGCAGTGGGGGCAGCTTGCTCCCCAACTCTGGGGCCGTGGGGGCGGTGCCCCCACATCTTTGAGACGGAATATCACTTTTTTGCAAAGGTTTTCTTTTTTGTTGAAAAAGCCAAGGGATGAAAAATAAGTGGCCTAAAACCGGTGAGAAAACTAGATTTGGGGGTACCCTAGGCTGATCTCTATTATGGTGTGCCCCCCTCCCCCCAGTCTGAAAGTAGTTCCCGCGTCCTTGCTTTCAAAGACACGTTTGTTGTAGAAGTTTATTGTCTAACAGTAAGCACAGGACAGCGAACACTCGTCCCACATGGTATACAAATCGTCAGCAGAGCATCCGACCCCGGTGCGCAGGGCATGCCTTAAAGCTGGTACCGAAGATCGCGACAAAGTGGCTCCTCAAACAGGAACAAGTCTCACGCTTTGATAACGCTCGTGCGCCATGGGGTGCCGCGGGGGGCGGGGCTGCGGCAGATGTGGGAGGGGGAGGGGCGGCGGGCCCGGGCTGGCGATGGGCTGTTATTTGATTCGGCCAAAACGGCACACGTGTGAGCGATATACTACAGGGGCTATTGATATCCTGTTATTGATCGCATTGACATGGAGCGAGTTACACTGAAAGGGAACCAAGTTACCGCACCGCCATTGGCAGGGAAAAGTGATCGGCGCTGATCACGTGTTACCGAGACAGACCACGTGACATAACGCCTATCGCCAGCCCGCCGGGTAGTGGTCGGCTGCACCGCAGTGTGGCGTGTGCCCCGGTCAGGTCACCATGACGTCACGCGGGGTCAGTGATGTGCCCGCCCCGCCCCGCCGCCCCGCCCCGCCCCCACACGAGAAGCGGCCGAGGCGCCGGGGATATGGATGGACGGTGGTGAGTGGTGGCGCCCGCTGACCCGCCGGGGGACGCCGTATGAAGCGCTCGTGAGTGAGGTGATATCCGCCCGTGATATGAGATCCGCCGTGCTGCGGCCGGGGCCAGCACGCTACAAACGGGTGACACACGCAGTCACACAGCGGGTGAACAGGGCCGTCCGGCAACACCCCGGGCCCGCGACACACAGACACACAGCGCCGGGGAGGGCGTCTTTAGGTATAAAAGCATCTAGCAGCATCTCTAACAAAATGAAAAAACATATATGCGTTAAGTGCTAGTAACCAGTCAATTAACAAAAGTCCACTGTTTTCAAACGGTCTATATGTGACACAAGTGGCACGCTCAAGCGTAACACACAAGTTCTACGAAAATGGTTTGGCCAATGTGTTTTCATTTTTGTTTCAAGCTTCTTTTAATGAAGATTAAAGGCCAAATAGTGAATAACTTGTTATTGGCAACGAAAGCGGTAGGTTATATCAAATAACTGTTCCATGGATTGAATGTATGACTCCTGCTGTCGTCATTGCTGGGTAGGTAAAAAGCTACCTTTGTAGCACAAATAGGTTATTTTGTTGCCTTTGTTAAAACAATCACTTATCTTTTCTTCTGGTGTATTGTATTTCATTTTAAGGTGTTATTACGTTTGAATAATCTTAATCTAACTCAATTCCATTTTTGGCAATGGTAACTGTCTTATGTTGCGAAATGATATTCAAAATAGAGTGACTGATTAGATTAGAGTGATTAGAGTGATTAGAGTGATTAGTGATTAGAGTGACTTAATTAGAGTGACTGAGGAGCTGATATACGAATTACACCATAAACTTATATGGACAAATTACACATTACATACACATATAGCTATACGGATCAAAGCTGAATGTCACACGAACACACGGACGTTTGTCACATAATGTCAGAGCCAATCAAAATGGGCCATGCTCAAATGAAGAAATTGTGTACAAACAGTCTCCCCATGCTGCAACGAGCAAGCGCTTGAGTTTTTTTTTTTACATAAATGCTTTCCTGTCTGTTCGCTGGTTCGTTGAATATCGATGATAATCCTTGAGTCAGCAAAACTTTAATTGCATTCATGCTTCCAAGCACCTAGGTCCGAGCATGATATGATTCTTTTCATTCGTTATCCGCCAATATAAATGTTCACTGAGTGTAACAGGTTTTGTCAAATCCAAGATATCATCACCTCAAAAATGTACATGATACTATTGATTTCTATTTCACTCGATGGCAGATATGAATCTAATATCATACAAGCGTTCGCTAAATTGTGCTTGATGATTCTAGATCACATTCTAATAGCGAAAGAGACTACATGAAAGACATCATTTCGTAGAAGTTACATACAATACAGGGTTGGAGCGTCCGAACGATACACGCCATTCCAAGTTTTGATAGACATTTCGTGTAAGTAGGCGGCGCGGCTGCCCGACAAAGTGCAACACTACACTCGGAAACACGGGCAACGCTCTCGGGTAACGCCCTCGGTTAGCTGAACCTGGGTAACACCCTCAGGGTAACGCCCCCGGTAACGTCCACCACGGGGTAACGCCCCTGCAGGCGGTGCTGGTGAGCGAGTCGGACAGAGCACAAACACACACTTCGCCACACCGACACCATTCCCAATGTCCACTATCAAGTCCTTCATACTCTCCTTGGCTGAGATCGAAGCCATTCAAATCGACCAGTCAACTAATGCCTACATGAAATGTATCTAAAGTATACATTATTTGGATGTTTTCTGACGGCATTTGGCTGCGTCTCCCTGAATACTCGACAGTGCCAGCTGCCGTCCCGTCATCCTCCCAATAAATACTTAAATTCCAACATCCTTGATCGGTTTTTGGCCAACCCTCATGACACGAATGCCACTCATCGAATGCCACTGGCTCTGTGCAGGTTTTTTAGATGTCTTCACATGAGATGGCTTTCTTTCAATGTAGAATTGACAACTTTCTCTAGATCAACCACTACATACAAAACAAACGTGCACATTTAAGTAAGTGAATAAAAAATAAGCAATCCTCTTTATTCACGCATTGCATGCATAAGATCCAAAGCCCGTGAATGTTGCAACTAATTTTCCTGTCATAAATGACTTGTGAACTGAAGCGCTGGGTGGATATCATACATTTACACCGACAAAGACCAATTAACTGTTCCGTCTCTGTTTGTAAACACGTATATACTCGTATAATGCTGGAGCAAAGCCGATATCAAGATATGTTCGCGGTCGCTGGTCGGACCCAGCGCCTATAAATGAATATCGAGGTCACCCTTTTGCCTAACCAATTCTTTCAGGATCTGCTGGTCCCGAAAACCCAAAAATTAGGTAGATATATGAAATATCTTGTAGCGTCTCGTGTAATTCTAGCTATGCGGCGTTGCCACTCGAAAGGAGAATGGGTTTCGCCCAAAACTTCCAATAAACATTTGTTATCTATGCCGATTTGTACCTCTTTCAGTTTCATGAATAATTTAGACCGATTTGCGAGTTTCCCTGACCTTCATTTCCAATGGTAATTAGGTGATTTGGTCCACCACTTGTGTGCCATTTTCCTTTTGTTTATTCAGTTCCAAAATTTCTCTTTCAAGCTCAGCGCTTATAAACAGCTACGCCGAACCCGCTGCTTTCGCAAGGCGAAAGCACTAAACGCTGACAACTGCTGTTATTCGGGAAGGCCTGGCGACCAACGTATAAGCAAGACGAACCTGAAACCCGCCAATAAGTCAGACTGTGATAACCACCAAGTACAGTTGCTAATCTTGGTTTACCTACGTAAGTACGAGTATGAGAGATACCCACTCGACAGGTACAATAATAAGTTTCGGTGTTGTGTAGCCAATATTGTTGCCCATAATCTTGATCAGAATGCATTCTTCTCACAAAGTCAAATAAAGACGGGACTGATATTGAGAAAGCCAGCGTTAGATTGGAATGCAAATGTTCACGCAAGCTGTCAAAACTAAACGAAATATATAATCCCGATATATCCCGATAACGTATATCATACGTAAGATTCAATAATCCCGAGGCTCAGATAAAGACTATCACTTGTTATCCTTAGTCACAAAATACACGTTTAAATATCACGTGTGCATTTCGTGTTCAGAGCTGATTTCATTGATCCCTGGCAAGTACTGATCGATCAGGCGGCCAGAAAAGTATATACCTATCTAAGACGCGACCACGGAGCCTGTTCAAAAGCCGTAATGGCGCAGTGAGTGCCCCATTGAATGCTGCCCTATAGCTGTATAGACGGGCATTCCCGGTCACCGCAATGGCACCATGTGCTGAGCGGGCAGCACAGCCGATACCGGGGGTAGTTCAGACACCGATGTCCCCGGTAAATACCGTGACAGACCACCCCCGGGGGGTCGGTGGTGTCAGCAGTGATGTAGGGAGGTGGGGCGGATTCGGTCACCGGCTGCAGGGCCCCGGGTCACCGCCTCAAAGGGCCGCCCGCCGGCCCTGCCGCCGGTGAGCGCACACACCACCCACCAGCCAGGCGGGACGGCGGAGGAAATTACCACCAGCCAGAGCTTTTTACTTTGATGTGGGACCTCAGAGAAATTGTCCTGACTGAATTGCTTCTGGCAAAAAGACGTCCTATTGCCTTTAGCAGCAAAGATTGCGTCTTTTGGAAGCTGAGACATACCAACATACGTCAGATGGCTTCAGCGGACTTGAGTTTGGTTGGGCGGTATTATCAGATTACGTTACATACCGACAACTCCAACTATGATAAATGATTCGTTCGTATTTGCCAATTCCATTGAACAGTTTTCCCAGTCATAATTACACATTGGAAGGGACATTCGGTAATGCTTATGCAACTGTTCCAAAACCTGTGAAGTACGTACGACTTAGAAGTCAGTTTGTTATGCTTTGATACAGTAGCGTCCGCTTAGTAAATCCACCTTTGTGACACGGCGTTTTGGATGTATTAAAACGGTGGCTTTATTAATCGGAGTCAGTTATGCTTCTATGGACAAATCTGTGAACAGCACAAGTGGCCACAATAAGCGGCTGGATTTATTATCCTAGGATTTATTAAGCGGATTCTACTGTATAATGTTTGAGCTTATGCTTATGGCTCCAGGGCCATGAATGTAAATGAAAGCGCGCAAAAGATAAATAAGCTTATTTCTACAATCCACAGGAAACGCGTTAAAAGAGCCATACTCATCTCCCAATACGTGTTGTGTTTCGCTGAACAGTTCGGTTCAGCCGGTATATCGATACACACCAGTCTACTACTTGGTGATCCTGCGGCTGCAAGCAGCTCATCTGGCTATTTCTCCATCAACTGCCTTCGCAAAGCTTTCGGTGATATCATAGAGAAGTGCTAGGTCAGAGAATACACTCCGTCTCCCAGCCCTGTGTGACACTCTGAGAGAAAATGATCGGCACAACTGCAGCCGCGGCCAGCAGAACTTCAATGTCGCCCCATATCTCCAACTCCTTCAAAAGCAACAGCCCACAAAACCTCCAAAGTGACCCCCACCAGCGGTCTCACAGCTCCGCCCGGCGCGGCAGCCTGACCGGCCGCGCACTGCCCGCCTGCCCCCGGACCCGCTCCCCGGGCGGACGGCGGCCTCAGAGGGTCTGCAGGTTCTCGCACGACTTGGAGCGCTGCTCGGTGGTGCCACACACCACGTTCAGCAGTCCCTTGACGCTGGACGTGTTGCGCGTGCCGCGCTTCAGCCGGTAGCTGCGCCTGCCCAGAGAGCGCGACCGGCTGAGGCGGCAGTCGCGCTTCAGACGGATCTGGGACAGCACACCGACCAGCAGCTCGTCCACCCGGTGGTCCAGACCCCCCGATACCTCGATGAACTTGCAGTCGTACGTGTTGGCCAGCTTGCGGCCGGCTGTAACGGACGTGGGCGGGTGCTGTTAGGGCGGACAGTGGACGTTGGGGGAGATGCTAATTAGAGTGGGAGTGCTCATAAGAGCGATACGAAACCAAGAGTTTACCGCTAAACTCTAGAGCTATTCGAAAGAAATAGTGAATTACATATGCACATATTTACATGCTACTTTGACCTGGATGTTTTATCAACCTTTTAAGTGAAACAGAAATGACGTCAAGCGATGAGGTTTTGTTTATCCGGGAAAATTTTCTCCTTATTTATTTCTGAATATTAAAGCGCAGCATCAGTGGCGGATCCAGGGGGGGCTGCGGGGGCTGGCAGCCCCCACCCAAGGAAAACTGGCGCCACTGCGCCGAAGGCGCAGTGGCGCCAATTTTCAATTCGCAACTCATCGGAGTGCCGCATACTAGGACTAGGATGCAAAAATCAGTCGAATAACGTCGTTTCAGTACGCTCCGCACCGATATTTCCAATCGTGTGGTGTCACTGTACATACTGATCCTGGGCGCCTCTTGTCAGGGCCACTGGGCGCCAATATTTCAGCGCCAATACGATGCGACTATGGCGCCCATCCGGGGCGTGGCGCCCAATTATGACCTGCAGCCCCTCCCCAGTGAAAATCCTGGATCCGCCACTGCGCAGCATGTTTGCTCGTCTGTGAATCTGGGTTTTGAAACAATCACTGTCAAAAGTTACGCAGCAGTTCGAGCAGTCATCGAAGAGCGAACAAGAGCCGAAGTTTTCGTGCAGCTTGCATATGGCAGCAATAACATTTGCGCACACTTCAAAAACAATTTGCATTTTCATTGCATATTCTATGATAATGAAATGCGGCCAACGCAGACAAGGAGAAAAGTACACCTCTCTTTGCAGGAGTTGAGCTCGCAATGCACGAAGAAAAACACCTAATTTCAATTATCAACGCAGTATAAACAATGTCAGGCGAGCCGATTCCATTCTGTCGACGATATGGCTCAGATTGGAGATTCATGTAATAAGTTCACTGAAGCGGGAGGTAACAATAGCCCTTAATGAACTTATTACAGGCTAATTCTCAGAGGACAGTCGCATCAATCATTCCGAAAAGTAGTTTCGTGACCTCTCTGTGATAGGAGAGCGACTATCACATGGCCTCCCAGGAGATCAGTGTCGCTCAGAGGCACGGCCCGCCACTAATTCAGCGGGTGACCCTGGGCCCGGTGGGAGCGCGCCGGCTATTGTCCCGGACAGTCACGCACGCCGCCGGGGGGGTGTCACGGACTCACCGTCGGCGGTGATGGTCCTGCTGCGCACCAGGTCCGATTTGCTGCCCACCAGGATCACTGCCTTGCTGGCCACCGCGGACATCTTCCACAGCGACTGCCGGCCGCACCAGAGGCGTCAGTCAGTGCCCAGTGGTGCGCACGTTACACGGTATAGCTGCGGAGCGTCGGGTGGCGCCGGCGGGGCGGCACCTCTGCGCTCTGCGTTCTTCCTGGGACCAATATCAATATTAACCGTGGCAATCCGAAGTAACACTAGTACTCGGTCTCATTACTGGATTGCATTTGGTATCCCACTTAAGCACGCTAAATTTATCTTTTTTTATAAGAAGTTGATTAATGAAGAGCCATGGCAGGTCACCGAAATAAAAGACGCAACGGGTTCCGTCAGGCTTATTTTCCATAGTGAAATAAAAACAGCACAAGTATGTCGCATGATAAAGGCTCCAGAGGGACTACCTTTCATTGATGTGATGAATGAGTATCGTCAAACAAGGCCCTATTATAACCTCATCCCACAGCGGTACCAAACCTATCAGAACCAATCGATTTCCGGTAGGTATCGGGCCAAAGGTTCGGTCCCTGGCTGCCAATACTGATCTAACGCTAGGATTAGCATGCATACTTTCCAACTGTTGATTGCATTGATTATTGCCGTACGGGGCAAATCGATGATTGATGAGTGCGATACGCTGAAGGAAAAACAGGGAAATAGAGAATCACAATCACATGTGAGGGCCTAACCCAGAAAGCACACAAGCACGCGCAAATGTAGCACAATAAGTTCAATGCATAAGCATGCACCTCAAACCTATATATTACGTTAAAATGAGGCATTCGAGCTGCGCGAGAGCATGTTTACGCCCCTTCACCCCTGAAATGTCAGAAATAATTGGCAGGAGCATTCGTCCTCTGGCACTAAGCTTCGCCACCTACAGGACTGGTCAGCTATATAGTCCACAGGGTATGCTATTCGCTGTGGCGGCGCTGTTACCTGCAGGCAGAATGTGTTCTGTGTCGGCGTATTGCACGCTGTCCTGCAGAATGTTGTCGGCGTATTGCACGCTGTTACCTGCAGAATGTGGTCGGCGTACTGCACGCTGTTACCT